CCCCCCCCGGGCGGAGTGCTCCCCTCCTGCAGCTTACCCTTTTGGTGGGCGGTCCTTCTCTGTTTGCCCCGGCGCAGATCTGTCCCCCCAGTTGGTCGAAGGGAACCGGCCCCGAGCCCTGGATGGGAATCAAGAGAAAGACGTCCGTTCCGATCGGGCCCCAACGGAGAGGGCCGGCGGGACATGGCGTGGTTCTGAGATGGGTCTCCTGTTGATCGTCTCGGGCCAAGATCGTGAGGTGTTTTTTTTTCGGCCGCCCCCCAGCGGTCTCTTACTTTTGAGCCTGTATCGCACATCTCCCCCCCCCTCCCCCTCCCTCGCACCTTTACCCCCCTTCTCCCTGGCCTGGCGTGTGCGAGTGCACGTGGCTCTTCATCTCTTCCCCCCTCGACTCGCTGCCTCATTGCCAGCCCGTGAAGGAACACCCCCCCCCCCCCCCCCCCCCCCCCCCCCCCCCCCCCAACGCCACCCTTCCCTCTCCCCTTGCCTACATCCCCCGCTACGGGCCGCCTCGCGCACTGGACGCCGCGATGGCTTTCGCTCCGCCAGGCGATCGCCCGGGCGACGAGCGGCCGAGCCTTTCGGTAACCATCCCCTCAACTCGGGGGCCCCTCTCGCCGGGGCCGGTGCATCCGAGTGAGGCCTCGCACTTGCGGCCGATGCGTCGATCTCTTGGGCCACGCTCGATCAGTCTCCCCTCTTCGGCCCGGGTCCCGGGGACTCCACTGTCCGCCAGGCCTAGTGCGGGCTCCGCCACGGGCGAGCGCTCATCTGAAGAGCCCCCTGCCCATGGTGTGCAGGTGGTGGTTGAGGAGCGCGATCGGTGGTATGTCTCTCTCTCTCTCTCCTCCTCCTCCTCCTCTCCATCTGTCTCTATCTTCCTGCCTTCCTTTTCCGCCACTCATGGGCCAAATGGATCCCTGGCCCTTCGCACAGGCACATCGGCCAGTGGCTGGGCAATGCGGTCCTCCTCACGGTTGATGGCGAGCACTGACCGTCCGACAATCAGGCGCCGGACACACCCCCTGACGCCAATCCCCTTCCTGGCCCTGCAACTGATCACCATCTTCATGTGGCATGGCGTGCAGTGGATTTTCCGCCTCTTGCACATGCTGGTCTTCGTGCTGCTGCTTTTCCCGGCCTTCCTGCCTGTATTCTACCTGTACCTGACGGCACCTCGTCGGGCCATCCGACGGAATGTGGTCTATGGCGACCAGGCTCGAAATGCCTTGGACATCTACGTGCCCCGGGAGCTGGAGCACTTCTGCTGTACCAAGCCTGGCGATGAGACGGATGCTTGCTCCGAAACGGATGGCTGCCCCGCAGCCGCACATGCCGATGCCACCGCCGCCGCCGCGCATGTCCCCCAATCCTACTATTCCTGCCTCGGATCCGCTTGCGAGTGTGGCCGTGCGAAGTCCGATAGTGTGGCCGGCCCCTCGGCTTTGCGTCCAGTGGTGCGATTAGCCTTTGTATCCCCCTGCGCCCGTTTCCCACCACATCGCCCGATAAGCATGTCAGCTGGGGACACGGGGATACGCGTGCATGCACGCGCCCCTCCCCCCGCCCACCCCCCCCCCTCCCCCCCACTCCCTCGCACACATACACACCCATGCACATGTACATGCATATGTACTTACATCACTTCCCTCCATCTCCCCCGATTCCGCTTTCTTTCTGGCAGTTTATCTTCGCCACCGGTGGCGTCTGGCTCATTGGCTACAAGGCCTGGGGCGCCTTCCTGGCCAGTGTGCTTGCCTCGCACGGGGTGGTGTGCGTTCTGCCGGATTACCGGAACTTCCCGCAGGCCTCCTCCGTCTCGGCCATGGTGGCCGATGTCAGCCGGGCGGTGGGCTGGACCTGCCGGCACATTCACCGCTTCGGTGGCGACGCCAGCCGCATCACGCTGGCAGGCCAGTCGGCCGGGGCACACATCACCGCCATGATGCTCGTAGCCAAGATCCTGGCCGAGGGTGGTGCCCTGGATGAGTTCGCCGAGCAGGCCACCGCGGCCAAGACCTCCTCGGGGGCCAGCACAGCCTCCCCCTCGACGCCCGCCTCTCGGGCCCCCGGCGCTCGTCGGGCATCCATCCCCGGGCCCGGGTCCATCTCTTCCAGTCCCGAGGTGTCAGCGGCCGACACCGCGGCCGGCCTACTTGCCTCGATGGACTCCCTGCTGACCGCCTCGCCCTCGACGGCCGTCGGGCTGCTGGACTTGCGCCGGTCGCTTCGGCCGCGCGAGGGTGACAAGCTGAGTTCCTTCGAGCTGCTCAGCCTCACCTACCTGGGGCCGCTGATTGCCACCGTGGGGGCGGTGCGTTCCCTTCCCCGGCCTCTCTCCGCCCTCCTCCCTCTTTCGGCCGCCGTTCTCGGGCCTGCAGAGCCTGTGCCAAGACTGACCTTTGCCTCGGGGCCCCTCCCCCTCCTCTCTCTCTCTCTCTCCCTCTTGGTACTCTCAGCACTCCTGGTCGGTGGCCAACATCCGCTCGACCATTCTCGTCAGTGGCCCGTTCGATTTGATTGCCGTGGCGCCGGAGTTCCACGCGCATGGCCTCTACCGGCCGATCCTCCGGATGATCATGTCCGCCTGGCCTGGAGACTTCTCCTCCACCGACGAGACCGCGACCGCCGCAGCCACATCCTTCCGTGCCCTGTTGAACCGTGTCCTGGGAGACCAGTCCCCTTATGCCGGATTCCCGGGCGATGCTCCCATCCCTGCCGCCCCGGCCAAAGGCTCAACCCCGGCGCTGGAGCCCCACGGACCACTGAAGTCCTTCATCCCGGACTCGTCATTGAACCTGCTGGCCATCTACTCGCCATCCCGCCTGCTACGAATGCCAGTCTTCTGCCGGGCAGCCATCCGAGTGGTCCGCCTGGCAGCCTCTCGAGGGTGTCCTTGCGGCGAGGGCCCCCCCTCCCCGCGTCCTGTCCGATCCCTCGGCCATTCGCTCCCGGCCATTCTCATCCAACATGGGACCAACGACTCGGCGGTGCCCTTTTTCTCCTCGCTGGACATGCACGCGGCCATGGTGTCCGCCGGGTACGTCCCTCCCTACGCCTCGACTTCCGTACCCC